CTGCCGTATGAACAAGCGTCCAAATTCTCGAAAATGTTTGAACGATTGGAAAATGAACTGGAACAATTAAAAATTCAGCATTTCGGCGTTTCGTCAACTGAATTGGAAGAAGTGTTTCTCAAAGTTGGAAGCGATCACAAAAGTTCGAATAAAGAATTAACTCAAAATGGAAAGACAAAAGATATCGAGGCTTCGGAGACAGAGTTGCTTAGTGGCTTCAGATTGCATATGAATCATTGGTATGCCATGCTCAAAAAGAGATATTACTGCTGGAAGAACAGCTGGATTCTATTTTTGGTGCAAATCATCGTTTTGATCTTCTTTACTGCAATCAGTGTGACTTTTGCTCGGGAAAGTTCTCACAACTCCAATACTCTTCAAGAGCGTAAACTATCATTAAGTACTTATAAGAAAGGAACAGTGACAATATGTCCGCAATATACCAAAAATGCTACAATTAACAGGTCGGTTAGATGATTAATGATTAAATAATATACTCTTTATCTGATGGATTTCTATCTTTTCAGAATTATTGATCAATATCACAATGAAATATCAATGAGTTCTACTGAAGATTCCAAACATAATTGGACGGAGTTTGGAGAAGAGGGCATTCAAGAGAAATTTTTACATTTTGGTGATTCAATCAAAATTCGAACAAATGCGCGATATTTGGCTGGTTTATCTTTTGATTCAAATTCAATTGTTAATGATAGTATATTTATTGCCTGGTTCAACGGTCAACTTTTTCATTCGGCCCCGCTTTCACTGAATTTAGTGCACAATGCTATCTTAAAATATAAATTCGGCCAAAATTACAGTATCCAAGTGACCAATTGGCCAATACCATTCCGGCCTGAATCAAAAGTAATGCTCACAATGAATGGAAACGACTTGGGCAGTCAATTGGCCATGTATATTTCATTTGCAATGGCATTCATAATTGCATTGTACATCATGTTCCACATTCGTGAACGATCTTCAAAGGCAAAACTACTTCAATTTATAAGTGGCGTGGATGCATCCACCTTTTGGGTGACATCATTTCTCTTCGACTTCGTAGTGTACGGCCTAGTTTCGATGGTATTTTATTTCACGATTTTTGCAATGCGACAAAAGTATTGGTCAACAGAAGAAGAATTGAGGCCTTTGTTTCCGATTTTCGGTCTTTTCGGCCTATCATCATTAGCCATCACCTATGTGGTATCCGTTTTATTTTCAAATGCATCATACGGTTTTGTTAGTTTGGCCAGCATATTTGTGTTCACAGGTAAAGTCCAAAGACAACTTTCAATGAAATAAGATATTAAATAGTGGAAATTATTCATTTATCACAGGTACCACGTTCTTCAAATTGATCACAATTTTATTGAGTCCAATTTTGAACAAATATGAAATCGCAAACCAGTTAAAACGAGTGTTCCTCATGTTTCCGCATTTTTCATTGGGAGATAGTTTATATAATTTGAATAAGTACAGGGTTTGTAAGGAAGTTTGTGATATAAAAACCCAAGAAATGAAAAACTTTACGTCACCAGGTGCTTCATATAATATAGAGATGAAGGTGAATACAACTGAAATGTCGAAATATAACACAACTTGTAATACCGATGCATATTGTACTGATTGTGGTAAGTGGACGTTTTCATTTCAAAGAAACACTTTCAAAATAGCATAATTGTAACTAATATGTATCGTTCGGTTTCAGATATGGGTATTTACGGTTGGAAAGAGCCGGGTATTGGCCGAAATTTAACATATATGGCAATAACAGCCATCATATTTTTCATCATTCTTTGGATCATCGAAAAGAGAGTTATTTCGAGATTAAATCATTATTTCCGTCGACATGGTCCGCAACCACCATCTGCATTGATAACCAATGCAATTGATTGCGATGTGATAAATGAGAAAAACAAAGTGAACACAATGACACCAAACGATTTACGAAATCATAATTTGGTTCTTCAAAATCTTACCAAGTCTTATGGTGATTTTTTGGCTGTGAAAGGAATAAGCGTTGCGGTGAAAGTGTAAGTAGTTTTTTTGCCAAAAATGTTCCTTTGCCAAACAATTTATAGAATTATTTGGGTTTGCAAACAGGGCTGAATGCTTTGGTCTGCTTGGAGTGAATGGTGCGGGCAAGACGACCACGTTCAAAATGATGACTGGCGACACATCCATTTCAAGCGGAGATGTATTTTTATCAGGCTTGAGTCTGAAAACACAATTGGCAGAAGTACAAAAATTAATCGGATATTGTCCACAATTCGATGCTTTGCTTGACAATCTCACCGGAACACAAACATTGGAAATATTTGGTTTGTTGCGTGGTTATCGTAGGAAAGATATATCCGCAATGAGCGCTCGATTGGCGGAGAGTTTAAATTTCACCAAGCACATCGATAAGGAGATCAAAAGCTACTCAGGCGGCAACAAAAGGAAATTGAGCACGGCCATTGCTTTGATGGGAAATCCGGCCGTTGCATATTTAGGTAAAAAAAAACTTATTTCAAATGATGAATTTCAAAAAAACATTAAATGATTTTTTTTTTCAGATGAACCTAGTTCCGGCATGGACATTGGCGCAAAGAGAAATTTATGGGATGTTGTGTCTCAGGTGCGTAATTCAGGAACATCAATTGTACTGACATCGCATAGCATGGAAGAGTGTGAGGCACTTTGTAACCGAATTGCAATTATGGTGAACGGTGAATTCAAGTGCCTGGGATCGGCACAACATTTGAAAAATCAATTTTCGAAAGGTTTTCTTCTGACAATTAAACTACAATCAAATGGTACCAATGCAAAAGTGACTAAAGCAGATGCAAAAATAGCCCAGAACCGTATCAGTGAGGTAATCAGAAGGAATTATCCAGGAGCTCATTTAAAGTATGTATTTTCAAATTGATGCCAAATAAATCAATTGATTAACGATGATTTTTCTGTTTGACAGGGAACAATATCAAGGATTATTAACGTTTTATGTACCACAAACCAATGAACTTAAATGGTCGTCGATGTTCGATCACATGGAATCAATCAAAGGAATACTGGGCATCGAGGACTATTCCATAAGTCAAAGCTCACTCGAGCAAGTATTCTTATCATTTACAAAGCCGTATCAAGATGACGAACAAAGCCCAAGTGATTCTGATTAAGAAATGCACCTTTGCCATTTAGAATTCTATTTTTTTTTTTAAATATTTATTGTGATCAAAATGATGTTATATAAGTCAATGTGTAGAAATGCCACACACAATTCTGAATGTGTGATGTATTTTTTGAAGGAAATCAATCATATCTCATTTATATTCAAACAATGTTTGTGTATCTTGAATATACAACAATAATTGTGTCTACTTGGATAATCCCTATTTTTATACAATAGAAATCTGAATTTTATACACAATAAACAACTTGCCTTCACTTGTGTGAATAAAATAATATGTTTGCGTTTTATTGAATTGCAAAGCTAATGAAGAAAAAAGTCATCGGAGTAACATATGCATAAAAATCTAATCAAAAACAAAATTACTTTTCATTCCAAAATCAATAATTCAACCTAGTTCACTTGTACTTTTGAATCAGACTTGAAACAAAAGCGAAGACTTAAAATAGAATAAAATTGAAATAAATATCCCGATAGAACTGGGTAGAATTCTCGAACTTCAAGAACAAATTTTGGTTGTGAACATTACACGAATGTTAAAATATTACGAATTTAAAAATGGCTGCTACAAATTCTGCTAGAAGCAATGACGTGGAGAGTGGGATTCAGGTAGATGAGTTTCACCGAAGTAACAATCCATTCAGTAAATTTGGGCTTTTAATGTGGAAAAATTCAATACTTCATTGTCGCCATAAATGGCAAACGATCATCCAGATTCTTCTACCGTTTTTAATTTGTTCGATTCTAATACCGATTCGCAGTCTTGTTGAGACCGTAAATTATCCGAATGCTACAAGGCATCCTCCTTTTGAAATCTCCAACATGAATGCACTGAAGTAAGATAATTTTAAAACGAACCTTAACGAATTTATATTTGATAAATGCTCGTTTTCATTGGTTAAAGGAACGCAGACCACGACATTCATATAAAAGAATGGAAACTCGTCTATTCACCCAAGAACGAAGCACTTGACGAACTAATGTCAGAGGTAGTTGCTGCATTAGAGCATGTTACAGGATTTGAAGGTGTGAAGACTCACGAAGAAGTTGAAAGTGTGATGATTGAACGAGAATTAATCTGTGGAATTGTCTTTGATCATCCCGAGGTATTCAATAGATTTCAATCAATAATTCATAATTGACATTGACAAAACATTGCTTCAGGACACACCATCAACAATGCTTCCACCATATTTGCGATTCGCATTACGGTTTCCAAGTGAAACAAGAATAATTGACGATCCGATCAACTATAATTGGCATACGAATCAACTATATCCACAACACACGACGGGTGGCCCAAATCAAAGCCATTCGATGCATGACGGCGGAATGCCTTTTTACTATGGCGAAGCATTTTTGGCGATTCAAGATCAAATTAGTCGAGTTTTTATAAAAATATCTTGCACAGAGTATGCAGATTGTGAATATAAGCAAGATATACCAGAAATTCGAATTCAACAATTTCCCTATCCAAAATATATACACGATAAGCTGCTTTACTGCTTGGAAATGGTGATCAGTTTATTTATCATGCTTGGCTTTGTGCATCCGATGATAGTAACCGTGCAATTCATTGTCGTCGAAAAAGAAAAGCAATTGAAAGATGTGATGTCAATTATGGGAATGCCCGTTTGGTTGCATGGCATCTCTTGGCTCTTTAGCGCCATGATTTTTCTTATCATTTCTATCAATTTGGTGACTGTTGTTTTGACGGTAATTTCATTTCGATTTTTTTAAATTATTAATTAAGCCCTTGGGTCAAAGCCCCTCCCTCAAGGGATAATCTGGGGTAAGGTTCATCAAAGTGTTCTAATATTTTTTAGATGAAAATATTCGATTCGGTGACGGTTATTTTACCAAATTCGGATTTGTTTGCAGTTTGGCTGTTTTTGTTTGTCTACATATGTACCATCCCAATATATTGTATCTTCATGAGTGCATTTTTTGCAAAAGCAAGTGCAGCAACATCGATGGCCGGTCTAATATGGTTCATATCATATACACCGTTCATCTTTCTGGCAATTAACAATGTCCAAGTTCCCTACGTGCTATCGATTGTCTTGTGCATTCTACCAAACGTCGCGATGGCATATGGATGCCGACTGATTGTCGAACTCGAGAGAATGGGAGATGGATTGCATTTTTTCAATGTATTCGATTCAACAGCAAGTGAAAGTGGCCTATCGGTTGGCATCGTTGGATGTTTAATGCTCGTTACATCAATCGTTCTCATTTTTGCAACATTCTGCATTGAACGAGTTTTTAATAAAAGTACCAACGGAAGTACAAAGAATAACAAAGAAGAAAGTTCCGATGAAGAACCTGCCAAACTAGAACCAAAATACTTTGAGCGAAATATTTATGATTATGAGCCAGGCGTCCAACTAATAAACCTTCGAAAAGAATTTGAAAATGATATAGTGATATGCAATGATTTAACGTTTGAAATGTACCGTGATCAAGTAACAGTACTGCTCGGACACGATGGATGTGGCAAGAGTACGGCGATTAAGATGTTGACTGGAATGATTCAACCAACTTCAGGTACTGCAATCATAAACGGCTTCGACATTAACACAGATCGCGTGGAGGCAAGACAATCGATTGGCATTTGTCCTCAGCACAACTTTTTATTGGACGAATTAACGGCCGGTGAACACATTGAATTTTTTTGCCGATTAAAGGGTTTGAGCCGAAGTGACGTGAAAAACGAAGTAAAAAAATATGTTGAACTACTGAAATTGGAGTCAATAATTAACAAACGTGCAGATGAACTATCACGTGGAATGAAAAGAAAAATTGCATTTTGTATTGCTTTGTGCGGCGGCTCAACGGTGATTGTATGTGATGAGCTAACCAATGGTGCCGGTATGGATCCATTGGCCAAACGTGAACTTTGGAATGCATTGGAGAGTGAAAAAATTGGCCGAACGATAATTTTAACGACACAGTTCGTGGATGAGGCCGACGTGCTTGGTGACCGAATCGCAATTATGGCCAATGGTGAATTTAAATGTGGTGGAAGTCCGTTTTTCTTGAAAAAACGCTTCAGCGATGGTTATCGATTGACTTGTGTCAAAGAAGATGGTTGTGATTCAAGTAAGATTACAAAAATATTGAAAAAACACATTCCGGACATTGAAATACATAAAGAAGTGGCCACAGAAGTTTCATACATTTTGCCATACAACGAAATGGGGCATTTTGAGAAAATATGCACTTTATTGGAAAATGGCCTAAAACAGTTGAAACTGTTCAATTATGGCGTTTCATCGCCAGAATTGGACGAAGTATTTCTCAAACTTGGCAGCGACAAAACGAATGAAAAGCCGATATTAGTCGATGATGATACAGTTTACGAGAAATATGATGCGGCTTTTGGATGTTCATTATATGTCTATCAGTGCTTAGCAATGCTTAAGAAACGATATTATTGCTGGATTACAAATTTCAAGCTATTCGCGATTCTACACCACATTCCCATGCTGTTCATTGGTATGAGCATGTTTTTCTACCGAAATGCAAGCAGCTATTATACGCTTCCATATCTCAATATAACATTGGACCCGTATAGCGAAACAGTAACTATGCTTCAATGGGATGATTCCATTAATGAACAAATTAAAATGTAAATCATCACTTGTTTAATCTAGATTCGCAAAAGTTTTAGCGTTTCTTTTAAATTTTCAGCATTTTTGAATCGTATCGCATGGAAACCGACGAAAAAGCTGGCGAAACTCTCGATAAATTTTCCGAAAACATTGAAGAACGCTTCTTAGAATGGGTCAAATCAGTTGAAATACGATCGAATAAGCGAAATTTAATTGGCCTAAGTTCGGACAACGTTGTATTAACGGCTTTCTACAATGGCCAAATATTTCATGCAGCACCACTTGCACTTAATCGACTTTACAATGCCATTATGAAGGCGAAACTTGGTGAATGTGCTCTTGGAATTAGTGTTGCAAACTGGCCGCTTCCATTTCGAAACCAATCAAAATTGATCCAAACGTCGAAGGATAGCAACATTGCCAATCAAATGGCCACAAATACATCGTTTGCAATGGCCTTTGTTATGGCATTCTATGTCATATTTTATATTCGTGAAAGAATATCGAAAACAAAAATTCTTCAGTTTGTAGTCGGCGTGAATAAGGCCATTTTTTGGACATCATCACTGGTGTTTGATATTTTTCTACATCTTATAACATCGGTGATATTTTGTGCTACAGTTGCTGTATTTCGTGAGAAATATTGGTCGACGACCGAAGAGTTAACCATACTATTCATTGTTTTAACATTGTTTGGACTATCAACACTGGCCATTGTTCGCGTGGCGTCATTCATATTCAAGCATGACTCACTTGGATTTGTGGGTTTGGCCGTTTTTTTCATTATAACTGGTGAGATAATACTGAATAATTCGAATCACATTTTCGAACGTATAATTCGAATACACTAATTTGACTCTTTTTCATGCGAACGTCATATAAAAAGGTGTGTGTCCTTACCAATTGATTGCGGTTTTAAGAAGTTCTCCTGTTAACTTAGCACAGGTGGCCGATATTTTAGAAGGGTTTTTCCTGCTTTTTCCACACTATGCAATGAGCTATAGCTTGCTCAACATGAATCGTTATCAGATTCAAGCCGAAACACAACACGGTAAATATGATTTTAGATTCGTTCAATTCAAGAAAGTATAGAACATTTATTTCTTATCAAAAATAGTCAATTCTTCCGATATATCAATTTATGATTGGTCTGAACCGGGCATCGGACGTAGTCTGACCTACATGACCATCGTAACAATTGTCTTGTTCAGTATTTTGCTTGTCAACGAATTTAGACTTGTACAGCATGCTCTTTACTATGCTCATGGTCTCCATAAAAAAGAATTACCAACAATTGAGACAACCGAACGCATCAATCCTGATGTTCAAGCCGAAAAAAATAAAGTCAACGAAATTTCAATGGCCGACTACAGTATAGTGTTGCAGAATCTAACAAAATTCTATGGAAATGTGCCAGCTGTAAAAGATTTATGTCTTGCAATTGAACGGTATGCATCCTTTTTACCAACAAAACAAATAATTTCTCTAATAAATTGAAAACGTTAAAACAGTGGCGAGTGTTTCGGTCTATTGGGTATGAATGGTGCGGGTAAAACCTCAACTTTCAGAATGTTGACGGGCGGAACATCCATTTCAAGTGGCGATGTATTTGTAACGGGCCTAAATTTAAAAAGTCATAAGCTACAAGCCGGATATTGCCCGGAATACAATGCGTTACTTGAAGATTTAAAAGGCAAACAAATACTGGAAATATTTGCATTATTGCATGGAATTCGGCCAGGTGACATTTCAAAAAGGATCTCGGAATTGGCCGATGATTTAAATTTCAAAAAGCATATGAACGAAAGAATCAAACGCTACAAAAGTGGTGACAAGAGAAAACTACAAACTGCAATTGCTCTAATCGGCACTCCGCCTGCTATTTATTTAGGTATGAAATACGACATTTAACAAACGGAGATGTACCATTTTTCGTTTTGTGATGAATATATTTTTCAGATGCACCAAGTTCCGGCATCGATCCCGCTTCGAAGCGAAATCTCTGGAGTGTTATATCGAAGGTTCGTCGATCAGGTGCATCAATTATGCTAACGACTCATAGTTTGGAAGAATGTGAGGCACTGTGTACTCGTTTGGCAATCATGGTGAAAGGTGAACTGAAGTGTCTCGGATCGGCACAGTATTTAAAAAATAGATTCCGAAAAGGATATTTGCTTCAAATCAAAATATCACCGCAGACCAAACCAAGAATGACCAAACTAGACCCCGAAACGACAATGTTACAACTTGTGAATTTTATTAATCGAAATTTTCCAGATGCAACATTAGAGTGAGTTAGCACTTTATTTTTGAACAATTATACTTTTGCTGCCCTTTTTGTTTCAAGCATTGAATAATATTTATTCAATTTAAAAGGCGAAAAAATCACGGACTTTGGACTTATTTTATACCACAAACCAAAAAGAGGCAGCCATCATTCATGTTTGGCATCATGGAAAGAGCCCGTTCGACTTTGGGTATTACCGATTACTCATTAACTCAAACCACCATCGAACAAGTATTCTTATCATTCGGTGAGTCAAGCGCCTAAATATTGCTTTAGAAAAGAATATTCCTTGTATTCATTCACAAAAAAAAGCAAACGAATTTGTTTGAATAAAATAATACTTTATGTTCGTTCCAAACTGCAAATATATTTAAATGTTCATCGACTGCACGAATGCATTAGTTTCTATTGTTATTTATTTGTTTGATCAATAAATCAAATAATGTTCAAAATCAAAATGGCAGAATTATAATGGTTTAATATTCAAACAATTTGTAAACAAAGTTCAGTGTGTCATTCGAACTGAAATTCTGTGATTTTTTTGTTGTTGAAAAGTTTCTCCCAACTTAAATATCGAACAAACTGTAGACTTTATTGTAAAAGGTTAGTTACTATATTGGCAGTGGTCTTGTGATTGGAAGGAGAGAAAAAAAATGTGCTATGTATTAACTGACAACATGGGGGCCCTTCTCAAAACTGATTTAACTTGATAAAAGAGAGAAAAAGAGCTGACAACAGTAAATTCATGTATAATCGGAGCTTTAACAGTGTGCGAATTCACGGCTTCATTTGTTGACCTCTTGAAGTGATATTTGGTTCGAGTTCAATTGCTTCAAGCATGAAAGTTTTTTTTTTATTGTATACATTGTAATGAATCGTAATGCCACATGTGGCTGGAAAAAATATTCGCAACAAAAAAACTGAAATGCACGTTAAACTGATTCACGCATGAGATGTATGTGCACGCGGCAGGAGGTTATTTGCTTTGAAGAATCCAAATTGAGAGAAAAAATATGCATGAATTTCGTTTATAAAAAAAATGCTCCTGTGCAGATATAATGTTGTTTATTCGAAATAGAATGGAATTTTTCGACCCAAAAAGAGCATTTAAAATAAAAAAAAAATTAAATTCCAAGTAAAATGAAAGGAATAAAATCGTTCATCATGACAATGCGCAAGTGGATCGAACAATTACTCGAAAATTCAGTGACACAAGGGAAAAACGGGGAATTTAATTCCATCTCAATTAAAAGTGTATTGAGCAATGGGCAATAGTTTCACAGTCACAATGTAACATTTTCTGACAATTCAAAATGTCGCTGAAATCTGTGCAAAGAAAATGAAGAAGATGCAAATGAATGTTTATCTCAATTAGTGCAATAAAATGTGGATCAATTTGCATGGTCTTTTCGCTTCACTCATCCACATCATTGCACCATAAATATTTTTACGTTTGCCTTTTAATATTGCCATCCGAATGGCAGGAAAAAAACACTGACGCTGTTACTTGACGTATGCAAATAAAACTATATAAACGCAATAAAATGTGTTGTGTGTGTATATATTGCAAGCAAGCGAAAATAGAAAAAAATTTCTAAATAAAAAGAACGAAACAGCAACATCAGCAGCGACAAACAAGAATTTTTGTATGTGTGTGTGTAATGTAAACAGGCTGTCGGCTAATATAATTTATAATATCTAAATTTCCACTTAATTGGACTGATTTATGTGCGAAGAATTTGTTAAACAACTTAAACAGGCCGAGAGCGAAAATACGACAAAAAAATGTGTATCGAACTAAAAGCAGAACCGAAATGATGTAGTTGACTGAGCAAATAAACGTGATCAAGAAGCACCAATAAAAACTCATTTTAATTGCGATAGAAAAATGGCTTATTTTTTATTCCACTCGACCGTTTTATATGGTACGAATTCTAAATAATCACATCGGGTTCAATAAACGAGTTACAAATTTTTTATTTAGTTGGCGTGCTGAACGAAGAACCAACACAGAAATGTGTTTTTGTTTGTAAAATTCAATGTATTTTTTTTTTGTTTTACTTGAAAAGGCGAATCGACGCTGAAAACGGACGAGGAAGAGATTTTGTTTTTGTTTCGCTGATTGTTATTTACTTATTTATAATTGAATGGAATTGGTAAGTGTTTTTTTCTTCTAAATATATAAATTGAAGGTATTGCTGTTGTTGTTTTGATTCATTTCTCGTTGATTTTTTTGAAATTTTTCTATCTGCCTACAGAATCTAATGCTAAAAACACACCATAACTTAATGATGGACTTTTTTCTCGCTCTGAACTCATAACAAGCGGCAGCAAATGGCAGTTGTACAAGTTGTTTTTGGTATTTTCTGTCGATTTCCGTTCGATATGCATTTAGTGTCGTAATTGTTCTGATACAATTCAATTCCGGGCGCATCGAAATAGAAGAGCAATCGTACAACCATAAACAAATTCAAATAACAACAACAAAATTCGTTGCCATTTAATCAGATGTGAATTGTGCTTTCAACGGGTAAATGAAGTTAGAAATCAAATGTTCGATACCCAATTGTCGCTCATGTACCCCGGATTCAATATGCAAATTGAATTATCAACAACAATTCTTCATCGCTTTTTATTGAGCTCTTGGCTCATTCGGTTTTTCCCAACAAATGCGAATATGTATGCAAAAATAGGTCAATGAAATTGGCTCATTTTGCATTCTCCCCATGAAGTTCTGAAGAAATCGAAATGGTTTTCATTATTAACGCAGTTTGTGTATGTGAAAGAGAAGGAGTGAGATTGAAAAAAGGCGAATGAGTGGTGAAACCATTTGAATATTTAAAATTTCACCAATGATATTTATGTTTTATCGACGTATAACCGCTTGTGATGCATCGTGAACAAGGAAATCGAATCAAATACAAAATGCTAAATTAGACTAATTGATGTCAAAATGACAAACGACCAAATGCTCGAACTTTAATTACGAACAATAATAAATGTCAAAGCTTTTGAAAATTGGATTAGTAATCAATTTGCCAATGTTTCTGCACTGTAGAATATGTGTATTTTAAACTGTATTATGGTTGTGGAAACGAGACGTCGAGAAAAAGCGTTTCACTTTTATTTCTTCTATTATTTTTGATTTCGTTCAATAAAACACATCCGTTCGTTTCCTGACGAGGAAATGGGGCTCTTTTTCTTGTTCGGATATAAAAAAAGACGCCAAATTACGATTGTTCGATTAAGAAGTAGAGACATTTTCGTTAGAAATTGACATGTCACTTGGAATTAAATGCATGGCCACAAATACAGTAGTCATAAAGTGTTGAAATAAATGCCATGGCACACGTTTGATTTGTTATGACATACTCCAGCGCTACGATCAACATTTTCTTTTCGTCGGAATTTTCCGCAAGGTTTTTTAGTACTCGTGAATTACAAGTGCTACCGGTGTGTGTGTGTACGCTGCTGTACACATACATATACGAAACCATGGCTTCGTGCAATCAATATCAGTGGTTGAAATTTTTATGTTTACTCGTGGTTGTAAAATGTTGACTGCCAATAAATGCAAAAATTTTGTTACACACAAATGGCACCAAGCGCACATGTGCGCGCGCGTGTCACATTGTTTGTATGGTATTAGATGGAATTGATGGCGAACAGAGGCAGTGGCAAAGCACGAACGAGAAAAGTGTAAAAAAACACTGAAATTGCTTGGCAAATAAATAGTATTGCGGTAATCATAAAATCTCTCTTTAGCACACTAAAAAAGCACACACCGACCAAAACATTGGCAAACGAAATATAAATTGTGCTATTGCTTTTCGAAATAATAGCTTTCGGTGGTTTTTCACTCAACTGAATCACCATTCAAACAAAACACCTGTGCCATACCACGCAATTAAAAAACCAACAACAGCAACAACAACAACAAAGACAATCTTACGTAATTTATCACTGTGTCTGTGAATTTTTATCACTGGCCAGTTTTATCCTACCTCCCGCTCTTCGTTCGCCACAAATTCGGTATCATTTTATGAAAGAATTTCATGAAAATTGCAATTGAATGAGCGGTCATATTCAGCGAAATCAATGTGTCGCTTCGAGTCAAATCAACTTAACTATACGGTCATTTTTAAGCAAAAAAAGAAACGGTTCGCATGTTGAAAAGCAGTAATTTCGTTTTTCTTCACTCAATATTCCTCAAAAGAATAAACATTGTTGGTGCATTTCATATTATTTGTCTACCCGTGTGTGTGTGTGTGCGCGCACAACAGCAGCACCTTCGAAATGTGATCCGAAGATGATTGTGTTAAAAAATAAAATTATGTGAACCGATGTGATACAGATCGGAAAAATGGCTTTTGCATTCAGCAATTATCTGTCGTTGTGTAGTAAAAATCATGTAAACGATATGCATCATTGTCGTCACACTGGCAAAATTATATAAATCAAGCTCATTCGCATACAGTGTATAAATCGCGCGCCAAAAACAAATGCGCGCACGATAATAATCTTTTGCTTGTTGTAGCGACTAGCAGTGGCCGTTCGTCAACACGAAAAAAAACACGGCCCATAGGTGATTGCAACCAGATAACTGAAATCATCGCTGAACAGAAGAAATAAAACCAGAAAATAATAACACACACAAACACATCTATATGGACGAAACAATGAGATGGCAGCTCATGATAAAAACAGTAGTTCTTTAGCTACAACACATACACAGGCCGCAGTGCAATGTAATAGACAAGTGGAAATGTGATTTATGACATTTATGCTGCACGTTCATTATGTATGTGGATAATTTTCAGGTTGATGTTTTTTGCCACTTTTTTTTTGTTTTTTTTTTTTCTGCTGCTCCTGTCGCTGTTGTTGAATTCTTTTTTAGCATTCGCATGAAGCGCATACAATAATGTTCACGGTGTTTACTGTTTTGGGTTGTTGTGTTGATCGCGAGACGTGCTCAACATTTTATTTGACAGAGAGAGAAAGAGAGAGAGAATAACTGAGCGCACATTGTGTGCCGGTCTTATTTTTTACAATGTGTCGGTTTGGTGCGAACGAGCGGGTGCAAGCGTTGAATGTGTTTGTAAAAAGCTGATATGTGCATAAAATTTTATGATTTATATGACAATTGAGGTATTTTACAGTGCGTCGCGCCTTTTGCCACAGCATATACTCACTTCGTTTGCAATATAGTGCCGTGAGGATCAAACACAACACACAATTGGAATATATATATGTGTGTGTGTGTATTTAACGTGGTTGCCGTAATAAAATTCATCGCTTCAAGTCTATACCATATCGTTTTTGCTTTTGTTTCACATC